AAGAAAGAAAGAAAGAAAGAAAGAAAGAAAGAAAGAAAGAAAGAAAGGAAGGAAGGAAGGAAGGAAGGAAGGAAGGAAGGAAGACACTTTCTCATCCTTGGAGGTAGCTACAGACTAGGACTCTACTGAAGGGCACTGCAGAACCTAGGGAAGACTGCAGATCATACCAGCAGCTCTTTGAGCAGCTTCCAGGGGAACTTCCCAGCATCGCTTTGTTCTACCGCTTCGTTTCACCTGGCTTCTGAAGCTCCCACCATGCTTCCACAGCGACAAAGGACCTCCACACTGTGGAAACATTCCTAATCTATCTTTGAAGACTACCACGTCCTTGCTACACACGTAGCAGGGTCTTGAGCCATTCCAAGCACAAAGTACACAGTCCTTGTGTGACAAGCCTTGCCAGCAAAACAGACACATTCTGCCATCAGGACTTCCATTTGGTTTAAAGGCATGGTCTCTGCAGGTAAAAGCAAAGAGAGAGGACATCCTTCCCATGTACAAAGACAATCTCCCCATCGTCTCTCACCTGTGCTTGGATGCCCCAGCTCCAGCGCTTGGCTGAGCTGGGACTGGATGTATTTCTGAGGGTGTGACCCAGGCTTGCAGAAGTGGCTTCTTCTTGCCAAAATTTTCAACTTTACCAGCAGAGCCTTCTGTTGTTGCTTTTTGTTGAGATTCTGCTAGGCTGCTGTGGTGACTGTTGGGAGATGGAGAGCTGGGGAAAGAGTGTGTGGCAGGAAAGGTCTCAGAGAGTGAGGAGCTGGGCACAGGAGAGCCCTGGGATACGCAGAGGGGCGAAGCTGGCCTCCCATCCCCCTTCACTTTCTCTTCCTTGTTAGTACCAGGGCCTGGTATCTCTTTATTCACACTTGAGTTCTTGCCAAGATGTGGTGAAGGAATTCCTAATGCAGCTGTCTGCTCAGAAGAAACTACTTCAGGAGTTTTGGGCCTGAAGTCATACAGATTCTCTGTGGGCACTGACTCATGTGCCTGATCGCTTGGCATCTCTGCCTTCTCCAGACAGGACGGTGACCTGTTCAAGGGTGAACCTCCTGCTTCTAGATCAACCAGCTTTACTGCCTTCCCTCCATCTCCAGCTTCATCTACTCGTTCGTCATCTGACGCCACTTCAGGAATGGATGGAAGAGACAAGCTCAGGGGATCAGCCATGATAGGAGATGTCACCTCAGAGGCAGACGGAAGGTCATGTAGTGGGTTAGACAGTAGGCCTTCATGATCACTGGCTTTGCTCTGACATGGAGTCATGAGATCATCATTGTCTTCATCCCTCAAGAGCTGGGTACTGCTTGCTGGGCTGGCTTCACTCGTGGGTCCTTCTGGAAAACTCTTGCTTTCAGAAGGGATGGTGGGCTGAGCTTCTGTGGCCACAGGTTCCTCTCCTGTGTGTACAACCTCTGTGTGAAGAGACTGTGTGGTCATGCTTCCAGCAATGGGCCCTTCATGTGTCAGGTGCTGGTGATGACTTCCACCCTCTTCCTCAAGCCCAGTGGGTCCCTCTGTTTCTTCTTCTACAAAGAGCTGTTCAGAAAAGGACACTCGTTTCTTGGCTTTCTTTTGACCTCCACTGGCACTCAAATGCATCTCTTCATGATTCTGTGTTGTGCTGTCAAACAAGGAGGCTACCTCTTCCTCTTGAGGAGGAGGTGTTGCTTCTTTGACTGCAGAAGTCATTCTACCATCCTGATCGTTCTCCACAGAAGACCCAGACTGACACTCTGGGTCTGAGGTTCCCACTGTGAGAGACCCGTCAGCAGGGTTTACAATTCTGCCACTGTGGAATGAGAGCACTGAGCGTACTTCCTGGGCCTCTTCAGGTGAGGGGACCCGGTGCTGTTCCGGGAAAGGAAGCTTCACGAGTTCTTCATGATGCCTCACGAGGGTCTTTCCTGACTCGTCACCGCCAGCTTCCTTCCCTGTGCCTGTCTCCCTGGTCTTGCCTCCTGAAGACTCTCCCGTCCCCTTCCACGCTGGGATAGGAAGCTGTTTGCAAGGTGCTCCCAAGGCGGAAGAACTGGTGTTCTCGTCTGGTGTTAAACTCTCCCTTGGAGAGATTGTTTTGAGGAACAAAGAAGGTTCTTCAGAACTGGCCTCAGCCCTGCCTGTGGGGGGCCAGTGTTCGACTGGAGTGGATGTGGAGATAGGAGCTGCTAGGGGAGAGGAGGAGGAGGAGAAAACAGAAGGACTTTCAGAGGATTGTGTCTCTGAGTCACACCTCAAGTCAGAAAAGACAGGAGCCTGAGTAGAGCAAGAAGGAAGAGTCGGAAAGAGAGCAGAGACAGGGGAAGGAAGCCTGGCCTTGGGTTGAGCCTCTGGAGAAACTTCCAGTCTGCAAAAAGGACAAAATAAAATCTGCAGGTCAGTTGCAGATGCATTTCAAGAAATGTATAAAACTAGTCAGTAAAGAGGGACAGGTTTTTAATGTTTGGGGCAGAATCTACAAGGTAAAGGGAACAGTAATTCTTGACATACAAATGAATCCCTGTTTTTTTCTCAGCATTGGGGAATCAGAGCCAGGGCCTCACACATAGAATGTAAATAGCTCACAACTGAGACATGCTCTCCCCACAGAAAGATACACTGATGAGCACCACGCACACTGTCACACAAGGGGCTGTTGCAACATAAAGGGAAGATGCAGCTGGGGCAACAGTCTATGGTTCATTTTAGTGATACAGTCAAAGAGTCCTGAGTACTTGAGACCACGACAGGGCCAAAGGCATTTGGAAAGCTTGGAGTAATGAAAGGCTTAAACAAGGCAAAGAGTATGGATTTTGAAGCAGAAAGTACATCTGCTGCAGAATCCTCCCAAAATGTCTCTCCACCCCCATACCAGAGAAACATCAATGTCCCTCAGAAAAGCAGGTTGAGTAGGCTCTTATGACCAGGAATGGAGGAGACAGAGAATGGTCACAGGTACACTAACGGGTGGACCAACGGTCTCTCACACCAGTAAACTGATGCCAAGAGGAAAGGCAGCCGTCTCCAACAGGGCAGCATGCACTGTAAACCCTTAAAACACGGGTTCCGCCCATGTACCCACCACAACCATGCAGGCTCGCTCACATGCCACAGACTGTCTCCTTTCACCAGAATCTGGTCAGCTTGATGAGAACAGCAGCTTCCACCTACAGATGCTGTGTCCTTAGCCTGGGAAACACCCCTGTCCTTTGTGCTGAGCAGGCCAGACCGGCAGACCGGTTCAAATGACTTAAGACTAGCAAAGCTTTGCATACATATCCTGAGACTGACCCCATTTGCTCTAGTGAAGACTTGGCCAAATACCAGGTGTTGGCAGAGAAAGGCCCCATATGTTAAAAACTAAGACTCACCTAGGCTTCACAGCTTTGGTCTGGGGAGCCCTTGGAGCAGGAACTGGTGGTTTCGGTTCAGTCTTAGACTCCAGGCTGGATTCTAGGTCTGAGATCTGCACATCTTCAAAAGGGTTTGGGGAGTTGCCAATCTGGGAGGCAACAGGAACAGCATCTTTCTCGGCTCTTCTCACAGTGTCTTCCTCCCGCAGCTGGCCTCCCACAAGCGTGGCTTTCCTTTCCTTCTCTTTCTCTGAGACAATGGGAAGAGGTTCACCTTCACTGTCCTTAGCCATATCTTTCTTTCCCGTCACCAGAGAAAGCAAAGAGGATTTCTTGCTCTCCTGCTTCTTGCTGTCTTTCGTTTCCTTGGTAGCCTCCATGTTAGCTGGAGACATGCTCTCTCTACTGTCCCCACTGGTCAGGGCTCGGTAGGATGGCAGAGACATGGACTTCATGGAGTCCTTGGTGGAAGAGTCAGACAGTCGCCTGTCAGAGGACATGCTGCCTCCTTCCCCAGGTTCCTTAGGAGACCGGACAGCCAAGTTTTCAGTGGATGTGAACAGATGCTTCTTCCTGAAGCCCTGCGGGGATGGGGAATCAGAAAGGCTGCTGTCTCTGATCTCATTCTTGGCCTCTGGCTGCTCCAGGTAAACATGGTTCCCGTTGATACAGACGTTAGATCGGGAAAGGGAGTCGTTCTTGGACCGGAGGCCCCCGAGGAAGGAGAGCCCTTCTTTCCTGGGAAGGCTGAAGCTGCTCAATTGTGTATGGTCTCCACTGGACGTCCTCTTGTGGGACATGACTGGGAAGAAAACGAACAGCAAAAGGGATGAGTGCTCAAGAGACAGTTTAGCAAGTAAAGGAATTCACTGCAAAGCCTAGTGAGCGAGTTAAACCTCCAGGACCTACATGTTCAAAAGAGAAATGACGCCCCACAAGCTATCCTCTCTAACACACACACACACACACACACACACACACACACACACACACACACACACTAAAAATTGAAACTAAGGATATAGCTCAAAGTTAAAGCATCTGTCTATTACACACAAGGCTCTGGGGTTCAATCTCTAGTAATGAAAAAAATAAAAAAAATTAAATGAGTGAGGGATTTGTGACATAGCTCAGTGATGGAATTCTTGATTAGCGTGTATGAGGCCACTGTTTTGATTCCCAGCATTGCAAAGCTAGGGCGAGAGGAGGCTTGGGGCTGGGAGAGGGGGGAATAAGCAGTTGCAATGGGCAGGGTTGACTGTCAATCATAAACACCAGCACATATTTCCAATTGTGGGAACTGACAGGAAGATGCTAAGCACCCGAAAATGCACAATTCAGTTCCGTACAACAGTCGGAACACTCAGCAGTGCCAAAGTTAAGAAATCCGGTGTTAAACCAATAGAAAAGGCCACACTCTCGACAGCGTAACAGAATCTGGCCACTAAAAGTTCTGCAATTGTTGCTGAAGTTCCAATTATACAATTCAGAGTCAAGGAGGCTGGACTACTGAGCTTCTGTCAGGAATGTACCGCATGGGAGTTCAGCACACAACAGAAGCTCAGCAGTTGTCTGATGAATTAATAACGCATTACACATACAACAGGTGCTGGGATGAGGCTCGGTGTTAGAGCACTTGCCCAGCATACTCAAAGCCCAGATCCTCAGGACGGTGAGAAAACAAACAGCCACAGAGACCCTCAGATGCATTTATTCTGTGAGCTTCCAACCCTTGGAAAAAGTATTTGCATATTCTTAAGAAACATCGCCTTAAGTGAGGTCTTCCTCGCCCTGGGAACAAAGATGGCTCTTCAGCAACATCTTTACTCTAGTAACTAAAACCCAAAGACCTGCTTTGGCCCTTCTTAGAGCAAGTCAGCTTAGCTGGGGGGGGGGGGGGGGGGGGGGGGGGCAGGAGGGTGAGCAAAGACAGGAACTCACCATCGGAGGCTGAGGAGGAGGACTCATCCTCATTGTCATCATCCTCGTCCCACCGGGACTGGAAGTCTCCTGGACGAAGCAGCACTTTGTCTGGCTTTGAAGTGGGCAGGACAGACATGGACTGGGAGAGCGGCGTCTTCTGCAAATTCGACTTGGAAAACAAAGTCTTGATCTTCGATTTCTTTTTCTTGTCTTTTGAGAAAGACTCATCATCACTGTCGACTGAGGGTGTCATGCTGGGGACGATGGCCGAAGCGGTATCCGAGGCGCTATCCTTATTCTTTCCTTTGATCTTGTCCTTCAGCTTTCCAAATGGACTCCGAGACTTATCTTTCATGGAGAGGTCAAACATGCTGGCAGTCATGTTGTTTCTCATAAATTGGATATCGACCTCAATTTCTCCTCGCTCTTTGTTCTTCTTTCCTGGTTTGGACTTCAAGGTGTACCATCTAAAGGAGGAAAGGTCGAGAGATTACCTTTGGATGGAAGCAGCTCCAGGAGGGCTCCTGACCCCATCACTGGCCTCTCCTCTCTGCAGCTCTAACCTCTCATTTAAACACACTTTGACACTGTCTCAATGAAGGGGACCAGCTGGGGTAAGGGAAAGTGCAGGACTTTGCTTTAACTTATCCACTTATTTTTGTAGTGCGAGGGCTCTAACAGGGGCATCAAACAGAACAGGCAAGTGTTCTGCCATCAAGTTAAATCCCTAGCTCTGTACTTTTATTTTTGAGAAGTTTTTCCCTCCCCATATGCTTGACAAAGGTAGTCCAATGTACTTAGTGTAGTCATTTTACTGGGAATTAGATCTAGGGCTTTGAAAATACTACACAAGCAGTCTACCACAAGCTCAGTCTACTGAGCTCTATCCTCATCCCTTACAGTCTTCTACAGGAATAATCCAATAATGAGTTATTTCTAAAAATAAAGAACTTGGCACAGGGTTACAGGCCGGGAGTCAGAGTTTGAGGCTAGCTTAGAAAATACAAGACCCTACCTCTGTCAGGTGTGACAACACACACCTTTAATCTCAGCACCTGGGAGGCAGAGGAAGGCAGATCTCTGTGAGTTTGAGGCAAGCCTGGTTTATATATCCAGTTCCAGGCCAGCCAGGGATACATGAGACTCTATCTCAAAAACCAACCAACCAACCAAAAACAAAGAACAAAACCAAAACAAAAAAAAAAAAAAAAACAAAAAAGATGGAACTAATACTAAAATAGACCCACAACGGGACAATATGCAGGGTCTGAGAAATCTTAGAAAACTCAGTCCTAAACAGTATGTCTCCACAAATCCCTCCGGTCAGGGCTCAGGGAACTCTGTGGAAGAGGAAGCAGAAAGAATGTAAGAGCCTGAGGGAATGGAGAATGCCAAGGAGATAAGGCCTTCTAAATACAACAGGATTGACACAGGTATGAACTCAGAGAGACGGTGGCAGCATGCTCAGGGCCTGCACAGCTTCAAGCCGGGCGGCTCCCGGTGCTGAGGGAAAAGCAGACACAAGTCCTCATCCCTAACCTGAAGGCTGTCTCCAACACACAACCACTTGCAAAGCAAAGTTCATTTTCTCAACTGGAGTGTCCCTGGATATACAAACCACACTTAAGAGCAGGCCCCATGCCCAGCTGTATATAGCCAACACAAATGAACTCAAAAGTATTTTTGTACATTTTTTTTGTCTCATATTGCTTTGTTGGGGGATTCTTTATTTTTATTTTTGTACCTTACTGATCTTTTGCTTGCATGTTATGGTTTCTGATTTTGTGTTTTTATGGTTTTTCTGTGTGTGTATGTTTTTTTTTGTTTTTTTTTTTTTTAAATTCTGGTATGTTAAGCCAGATGGTGGTGGCACAAGCCTTTAATCCTAGTACTTGGGAGGTAGAGGCAAGTGGATCTCTGAGTTCGAGGCCAACCCGGTCTACAAAGTGAGTTCCAGGACAGCCAGGACTACAAAGAAAGATCCTGTCTTGAAAAACAATAAAACAAAACAAAATTCTAGTATGTTTGTTTTATTTGCCTGTTTGTTTTCTAAAGAGAGAAAGAAGGCATGGAGTTGGGTGGGTGGGAGGTCCTGGGAGAAGATGGAGGAGGGGAAACCGTGATCAGAATATATTGAATGATAAATGTATCTTCATAAGAAAAAGACAGAATAACACCCAAATCCCTCTTAGCAAAAAGCAAGACTCCCACCGAGAAAGAGAGAGAGGGAGAGAGAGAGAGAGAGAGAGAGAGAGAAAGAGAAAGAGAGACAGAAAAGAATTTTATCACATTAGTTACAACATTAACCAGGCATGTGGTGCATGCCTTTAATCCAGGCACTCTGGAGGTAGATCTGTGAGTTTGAGGCCAGCCTGTTTACAAAAGTTCCAGGACAGCCAGGGCTATAGAGAAACCCAGTCTCAGAAAACCAAAACAACAAAAACCAAACCCCAAATTAGTTCCATTGACACACTTGCCTTTATTAATGGCAATTAAGTTTTTATGTAAATTTACAAATAAATATCAGATGACTCAGGCTGCTTGTCCAGAGGGTCCTGGTTCAATTCCCAGCACCCACACGGTGTCTCACAACCTCCATTTATAAGTCCAGTTCCAGGAGATCCGCTACCCTCTTCTGGCCTCCACAGGCACTGCATGTGTGTGGTACACAAACGTTCAAGCAGAACACCAATACACATACAATTTTTGAAAAAATTAAGCTTATAAAAAGGAATAAAGACTGACAGATAGTAATATGAACATACACAATTCAGTTTCAAAAAGAGAGAGGGATTTTTTTTTAAAGCTTCAAATGATGAATACTGTATGTATGGTTCCTCTTACATGAGGCACCCAGCGTAGTCAGATCATTGTGATAGAAAGTGGAATGGTGGCTGAAGGGACTGGGGGATGAGCAGAACAGGAAGTAATGCCTGAAGGGTACTAGTTCAAATTGTAAAAAAAGAAAAAAAAAAATGAAAAGGTTCTAAAGACAGATGGTGGTGGCAGTTATACAACAATGTGAATGGATACGCAGCTTCACACTTACGGTGGTTAAAATGGTGAATTTGAGGGCGGGGGTGTAGGGCAATGGTGGATCCCTTGCCCTATGAGATACCACCATATGAGATACCTTGGGTTCAATGCCCAGTATCATAAAATAAATTTAAAAATATACAAAAAGATAAATTTTGAATTTTGTCACAGTTTGAACTAATGAAAACCTGACGAGAAAGCATTCACATCAGACTTAGCTAACAGAAAAGAATATTTCAGACATCTGTTCATGTATTTTACATGGTCCTTTGCAAGCTACTTCAAGACATGGCAAGTGAGAGGGCACCAAACCTCCTCTGCCTGGGAACTTCAGGAGGGGGATCCTCCTTGACATTCATTTTTCCATCTGCAAACCTGATCTCTGGTGAATTGGGGGCCCAATTCATTGCAGGCCTTTAAACAACAACGACCTGAAATACCTGGCCTTCATAGATCCACCCACTGGCCATCTCATAAGCGGAGAACTTACTTTTTTTTTTCTTCTTCTTCTTCAAGAAGAAGGCTTAAAGGCTTCTTAAAGGCTCAGCGCCTGAACTTTAAGGAAATGATGGCTTTGTCCAAATGAGTACAACTTCCTCTCTCACCTTCAATGGCAGCTCAGCAAAAGCCAGTATCCCCCCAGCTATGAGGCTCATTCTGTACACAGGAAAGTAGACCCCTAACCCTTCAACCGCACTCATGGCATCTCCTGCACTTGAGCCTCCCAGGGTGGCAAGGAGTGAATGCTGTGCTCACTTTACTGGTGAGTGGAATGAAGCTTAAGATAGCTTTATCCCGGCACTGTTACAGAGCCCAACAAGGATTTGGCATTTCCTTAGCTCCTCTTCATTCTTGACCAAGAAGAGGCTTGCTTTAAGCTCATTCTCCTGATCCGTTTTCAAACTCTTTCTGAGCAGAGTTTAACACGCTTCCCCTTCCCCTCCCTCCCACCCACTTTGAGTGTGCATGCGCACATGAATATGTATGTGTGTGCGTGGTGGTGGGGTGCTAGGGGGGAACTGCAAGGCCTCATACATGGTAGGCAAGTACTCTACTGCGGAGCTAAAACCCAGTCTATATACTATAAATTTACATATCCCAAAATAAAAGGAGAGGGGGGGGGAACTCCAGCACAGCTTGGCACCAGTCATAGCCTGTGAGACAACCACTGAAGATCTAGCACATAGAACTGCCAGGAAGAACTTGAAGTGCATCAAGAGATGCAGCTAAGACCCAGCAATATGATGTGAGATGCCGGCCTGGACTGGCAAAGAGGAAAAAAAAAGTTCATGGTTTTTAAGCCACGGATGTGAAGAAGGGGTGGGGGAGGAACAGCCACAGCTGGACTTTTAACACAATTCTGCCGGCAAGCCTTGTATCTTTCCAGTACATGGAGGGCCTGGCCTGGAATGCTTTGCATATTTGTCAAGAGGTTGAGAGGATTATTTGTATTTTTTTTTTTTCCCTGATAGTCAGGGTTGCCCTGGTGATGAAAGCTGTTTTGGCTTTTGTAATAGTATTTGTAGAAACCTGAAAGGAGAAGTGGCTGAAGGCTGAACGTAAACCCTGAGATGACCACAGCGGCAGGCATCGGGGTCACTCGGCAAGAAGAGGCTGGGGACAGGGTGCTTCTCCACCAGCCATTCGGTCAGTCAGGCACACAAGCACATTCAAGATCTTCAGATAATGCCACCTGACCATTCCTGGGACCAGGCTTGCCTTTCTAAAGGTTATCTGGGCCAAAATGCTTATGTAAACGAACTTAGAGCCGGCTCCAGAATGCTCCCCACCAATTGTTACCTGCAGCTCGAGCACTGGCTTTGGAAACCTCCAGCACCACATGCAAGCAGAAGTCTCCCTGGCTGTCCTTGCCAATTAATTTCATAAGCAGACCCGAGGTCAGCTAGCAGGTAGCTGAGGAAGCTCCAGAGCCCCTTTGGGACTCTGACAAACTGATCTGCAATCACAGGTAGCAAGCTTCCCAGCAAAACCGTCTAGAATGTTCCCATCACACAGCAAGGGAAGACGTGGAATGCTTCTGCCAATACAACTCTAAAACATGTCAGCCTAGCCAGAAAGCCACAGTGAAACCACCTGGCAGCAGACAAGCTAGTCTTTTTGTTTGTTTGTTTGTTTGTTTGTTTTATTTTTTTAAATATTTATTCTTTACAAACATTACATCCTGACTACAGTTTCTCTACCTCTACTCCCAATCCTCTCCCAGCCCCCTAGATCCACTCCTCCTCTGTTTCTCTTACAAAAACAAAAAAAAAAAAAAAAAAGGAGGCAGGCAGGCCTCTCAGGGATATCAACTGAACATGGCATATCAAGTTATAATAAGACAGGCACAAACCCTCACATGGTTGGACAAAGCAACCTAGTAGGAAGAAATGGTCCTAAGTGCAGGCAAAAGAATAAGAGATAGCCCCACTCTTGCTGCTAGGGACCCCACAAGAACATCAAGCTTTGCAACCACGACCTATACTTATACGCAGAGGGCCGAGCTCAGACCCATACAGGGTCCGTGACTGTCACTTAGTCTGTGTGAACCCTTTTAGCTGGTCCTGTGGGTTATGTTCTCATGGTCAGACAATATATTCTAAAGAGACACTTGTGTCCCAAATATTAAGAATTCTTCAGGAGTCTCACACTGAGGAAAGGAAAAGGGTGGAGCCTTGTGCCAACTAGAAGAGGAAACTCTTCCAGGAAAAAATTTTCACACAGTTCTGGCAACTTACCAGTTGACTGTCTCACAGGGTACACGGGAGCTAGGTAACGCTCGATGTTGGATGATGGGGGCGGGGGTGTGTGTATGGTCACACCATGACAGAATTGCTTAGTGATGCGTACAGTTTGCCCTGTACTTAAACCCACCTCAAGTCCGACATAGGGGCAGCTAGACCTCTTCCCACTGTGGCCATGTTGAACACACCCCCTTTCCTGCTTTTTAGTATTACTTGTCTCTTTAGTGACACACTGGGACTGGTGGGCAAGCCTTTGATCTGCCAGAGCCCGGGCTTTGAGCCTGAAAACTCCATTAACAAAGTGCATGAGTGACTCACCCTCTGGAATCCCAAATCGGATTATGGCTGTGGGCTTCAGCATTACAGTCAACTCCATTTTTCAGTGTTTTTATCTGTTTTTAATTCACTTAACTTCTGTCCTCCAGAGAAGCAGTTAATAGATAATCTGGCCCACGGCCACACAGCATAAAGCAGCGACGGAGGTGTTCCAGCATTACCTTTCACATGGGCCCAGAACGCTTCTGCTATCCTAAGATCAGGGTTGGGCTCATTTTTCTGTCCAAAGGGCAGAGAGAATGCAGCAAGAGAGCCATAATCTCATGCAGTAAGTTTATTTTTAAACTTGATATGATATGAAAAAAGTCCTTCACCTATCAAAAAATTTAAAAAGTCAAATGATCCCTTTTAAAAGTATGTAATTTATTATATGCTTTATAATTTATAATTATATTTATAAAATTAATATTTATATTCTGCTACTATAATTAAAATCTAGTCCTCTGAAATTAAAAGGACCTCTGAATCTGTAGAAAGCAATGGGGAATTCACAGAAACTTTTTTTTGGGGGGTTTGCTGTGTAAACCTGTGTGGGTTTATGGTGTATGGATCGGACCTAAGGACTTGTGTATTTGAGGCAAGAGCTTCACTACTGGGCTATATGCCCAGCCCTTCTGTAATATTTTACAGTAATAGCAAGTACAGGATAAAAATTCCAGTCACACGAGATAGCAGAGAGTAAGAAACTTGGTCCCTTACTTTTTCCATCTCCTCCCCAGGTTCTCCTAGAAATAATGACCAGTTTTGTACTCTCCCAAGTGACAGTTTGGGTTCCTATTAAGTGAAAAATACCTGTTACCCAAATAACCTACCTTGTGGTGGTTATGTAGGGGTTCTTTTTGGGGGAGGCTGGGTGGGATGGGGTGGGTGAGGTTCCAAACTAATGTTAACAGCTAAAAAACACATAAAACATTGTTTATGTTTCTTACAATGTGTCTTTTTTTTTTTTTTTTTTTAACATTTTATTCACTTTATGGCTGACTATAGCCCCCTCTCTCATCTCCTCCCAGTCCTAGTCTCCCTCCCTCCTCTCCCTCTCCCCCTCCCCTAGTCCAGTAAAAGGGGAAGTCCTCCTCCCCTACTGACCTTAGCCTATCAAGTCTCATCAGGACTGCCTGGATCCACAAGAAGATAAATAATCACATCTGTAATCCTAGCACTTAGGAGATGGAAGCAGGAGAATGGATCATGGAGGCTGGCCTTGGGTACACAGTGAGACAGACCCCGTCCTTGTTGGGGGACAGGGAGGAGAAAGAAGTGGAGGGAGCCGTGAGGGAACACTGAGGAAGACAGGATCTTCTGCAGATGAGGGAAACAGGAGCGCTCTCAGTGCACCCCCACAGACATCAAGCCTGCTCGGGTGGGTAAAGGCCTGCCAGGAACGCCTCTGGAACAATAACTCTGTGGCTGGAGCAACATGTTTTCACACTCCAGAAGGCAGCCACAGAGAGAGAAATCGCAGTCTTCAAGATCCATGCATGCGGGCATTGGTGGCACACACCTTTAATCCTGAGTTGGAGGCTAGCCTGGTCTACAGAGCAAGTTCCAGGACAGCCACAGCTCCACAGGGAAACCCTGTCTTGAAAAACCAAACCAAACCAAACAAACAACTCATGCAAACATATTTCTACTCTTCACACTGAAGTTAGAGGGGTGAAGAGACTCATAGTTTGCTTCTAGTCAGGGAGAAGTGTGGGCGCCAGACAACACAACACATCAGTTAGAGCTGGGTGCAGTGGCACAAGCCTGAAATCCCAGCCCTCGGGGAGGCAGAGGTAGGTGGGTGTCTGAGTTGGAGACCAGCCTGGTCTACAAAGTGAGTCCAGGACAGCCATAGCTGCACAGAGAAACCCTGTCTTTTAAAACCAAAACCAAACCAAACAAACAAACAAGGCATTAGTTGCACTAAGACAGCAGCTGCCTGCTTTCTTTTTCTTAAAAAAAAAAAAAAAAAAAAAAAAACATCTGAAAATTACATTTCTTTATTTGTTTATGTATTTTGTGTGTCTGGGAGAGAGAGAGAGAATGCAATCACACCATGGTGAGCACACCTTATAGGGGTTGGATGAGTGGCTCCTGGTACTGAAGGGTTTGGTAGTAAGTACTTTTAATCACTAAGTGTAGCCACTGGTCTAGCTGCCAACTTCTAACTTTAAACACTGGGACAACTACTGGAAACTTCCTCACTGTGTGCATGCAAAAATATTCCATGTGAAAGACACTCCCATGAACGCACAAATTTCACCACAAACAAGGCTCTCAACTAACCTAAGACCCTACAGAATTCAAAGCCACCTATCTTGGGAAACTAATAAAAACATAGCATCTACTTTGAACCCCAGAAGGGTCCAGAAAAGGGAAGGTCAAGAAGGCCCCCCAGCTCTACCACTCTAGATGTCTGAGTTCATTGCAGGATCTCTGGGTCTAGCTTGGGTCAGCACTGCTACCCCCTTCCCTTTTAGGGCCAAATCTCAATTACAGGCTTTAGCACAAAGTCAGCGCCATCACCATAAGAAACCTAGCATCAAGACTCTGAGGACTAAGGCTCCTCTGGAAGGAAGGCACGGGTACAGAACAGTACCCTACAGGGTGTTTGGAAGCAGGACAGTCATTCCTTTCCTAGATGAGGACACTTTATGAAGCAGCTCAGAAATTGTCTTCCTCGGGGATTATAAATAGGGCAGAACGCCATACTGTGGGCCTCTGAGGTTCAAAAAATTCCTGCCTTGGATAGCACGGCAGCAGTGTGGAGCAATAGTGACAGAGATGTTTATGGCTTGTGACACATTGGCAATGTGTCCTCTACAGCAGCTATGCAGTTTAGCAAGTTCTGCTGTGGAATGAGGTGGGTAGGTGGCAACCAGGGCCTAACCGTCCACCCTGAGCCAGTCCCTACCCACTCTCAGCTGCTGGAGGAGCTAGTCCCCAGAGCAGTGGACGGCTCCTGCTGGTTTTCACCCTCACCTCTAAAATGGCCACTTTAGTAGCACTGAAAAGGTTCCACTTTAGTAGCACCGAAAAGGTTATTTAGGAGCCACCAGACTTGGTCCTAAGAACTGGTGAGTGGCATGAAGAAAACACAGGCAGGTGAAGAACCATTTGGAGGCCAGGTGAGATGGCTTAGCAGATAAGGTCATTGTGGCCAACCCTGCTGACCAGAATTAGGTCCTGGGGCTCAGGTGGTAAAAGGAGAGCGCCAACTGACTCAGGTTGTCCTCTGAACTTTACATGTGCACTGTAACACACACATACGCACACATACACACACACACAGAGAATAAAGAAAAACAAAAGCGAAAACAAGATCAGTCCCTCACACATACATATTACAAGACGTGTTACAAGAAAATGAAATATCAAGTATGCTTTTAAAGAGACACTTAATCCCATGCTAAGCTGACACCTACTATTTCACACATTTCCTTTAAGGTTTTGTTTTGCTGTTGTTGTTTTTTTTCCCCCTATGCAGTTTCGAGCTGAGAGACTTTGGGCAACTTGTCTAACCCTGCCCTGGTTCTACTCTGAAACAAGGCTGAGGGTACCTGGGTCAGAAGGATGTCATAAAGTTTAGAAGATGTAAGCGTCTAGAGCCAGGCCTGCGGTAAGTTACAGCTGTAAGTTCTATTTAGCTAGAATCAGAACGCACAGGCAATTTTATTTGTAGCACATGGCACATGCCTTAGAATCTTCACATCGCCAATTCTGATGGCTACATGACATCACACCACCTGAGAATGCTAGAGCTGGCCCCAAGTCAGAAAGTTCCTGACATGAAGATAAATAGTTCTAACTATGTTACCCAACACTCAAACATGCCCACCTACCATAAGTACCAATGGACTTGTGTTTCAAGGCATAGGAAAACATTTACTTTCACCCACACAATTAGTATTATATACTTTCAGTTTATTTTCCTGGTGTTATATAATTTCCAGGAAGTTATTTTTTAATGGAAGACCTTAAAAACGTCACGATTAGAGTATATGTTCTGGAACTTGCTGGGGGATGTAATTGCCATCACCAGGGCCTTTATGGCTTTTCCATCAGTGGGTGATATGGGAACCAGAGGCTCCTGTGATTAGCAATGCGGCCGAGCAGTGCAGTGCAGCATATGATTAGGGTATTTCTAAGCAGAAAATACAAGTTCAAGCGCCCATATGAAAATACTTTCTACGAATTACAAAACTTAACTCACATGTCAACATGTAAGCCTATTGTTCCTACAGTTGTCCACCAGCAAAGTTGGTTATATTTCAGAGAGCCACAAACGGTACTATGCTATAGATGAGACCTGCGACCTCAGCTCTTACTCGGTATAAAGGCCACCAGTCTATCATGCCTGGCCTGCCAGAGGAATGCATCACAACAGTGACAGATCCCTCACAAAAAGCAAGTTTAAGGATGGGAAAAGAAAGTGCGTAATCTGGTACCCCATGCCTTGACCAAGACAAAAGAAAACAAACCAGTGACAGACATCAAAGGACATTCAGTCCCCTCCTCACCCTGTAAACAGACGAATGTGACCCCCCCACCCCCACCCCATGAGCTCCTGGCAAGGGAGCAGAGAATCTGTGATTTATCTTGTAATCACTGTAAGTTCAAAGCAGGAAGAAAACATGCCCAAAGAATTTTATTTTAAATCACATCTTAATAACAAATGATTAGTAAAAACGAAAAGTTCCATTTTGGCGAACTGCAGGTCATATGCACCAACCATTAGAGAACACTGCAGTAAGAGGTCAAGGCCCTGGATAAATACCCTGGGACTCAGTCTGCTGCGGCTGCCCTTCAGATCGGACACCATTCTTGGTGATAACAAGAGGCTTTTTTAGGCCAGGCTT